GCCGCTGGGCCTGCTCTGCTGGTCGGTAGCAGGTCCGCCTACCTTGCAGGCGCGGGCGGCGGCTCTGTCCCTCTGCTGGCCGCTAGACTTGTTCTGTCGGTGGTCGCAGTTCTGCCTACTTTGCAGGCGCAGGCAGCGGCACTGCCCCTCTGCAGGCCTCTGGGGCTGTTCTGCCAGTGGGTCGCAGGTCCGCCTACCTTGCAGGCGCGGGGGGGGGTGGGCAGCTCTACCCTTCCTCAGGCCACTGGGCCTGTTCTGTCTGTCGGTTGCAGGCCTGGCCTGTTCTGATGGTGGTCACAGTTCCGTCTACCTTGCAGGCGTGGGGGGAGGGGGTGGCTCTGCCTCTCAGCAGGCCGCTGCTCCTCTTCTGCCGGTGGGCCGCAGGCCCGCCTACCTTGCAGGAGTGATTGGAAGCTCTGCCCCTCCGCGTGCCACTGGGCCTTTTCTGTTGGTGGTCACAGTTCCGCCTACCTGGCAGGCACGGGGGGGTGGGGGGCGGCTCTGCCCCTCAGCAGGCCGCTGGGCCTGCTCTGTGGGTGGTCACAGTTCCGTCTACCTTGCTGGCGCAGGGGGAGGGGGCGGCTCTGCCTCTCAGCAGGCCGCTGCTCCTCTTCTGCCGGTGGGTCGCAGGCCCGCCTACCTTGCAGGAGTGATTGGAAGCTCTGTCCCTCCTCGGGCCACTGGGCCTTCTCTCTGCATTTTCTATTCAGGTTGGTGATCCATTTTGAATTGATTTTGAGAAAGTTGTAAGTTCTTTATCTACTTCATTTCATTTCTTTACCTATGAATGTCCATCAGTTCCAACATTTGTTGAAAAGACTACACATTTTCCACTGAATTTCCTTTGTTCCTTTTCGAATAATCAGCAAACTATTTGTGTGAGTTTATCTCTAGCTTTTAAGTTCCATTCCATTGATCTAATTGTCTATAATTTGTCAAATTTGTGTTGATCGCTATGGCTTTATAGTAAAACATAAAGTCATATACTGTCATTCATGTGAATTTATTCTTCAGTATTGTGTTGACCATTTTGGGTCTTTTGCCTCACTATGTAAAAATTAGACTCAGTCTTTGGTATTGATAAAACAACTAGTAGGGTTTTTATCAGGATTGTATTGAATCTAGTTATTAAAATTGGGAAGAACTGACATCTTAATAACTTTGATGATTCTTATGCATAAATATGAATTATCTCATTTATTTACATATTCTTCTGTCTTTCACCAGAATGTTTTTTGGGGCAGGGCAGGGATTGAACCCAGGACCTCATGTGTAAGCAGTCTGCTTCAAAGCTATATCTCCATCCCTTTCATGAGAAATTCTTGTTTTGTCATGTAGATCTTTGACAGACTCATATTTTTACATACAGTTTTCTGTCTTTTTTCTTCTGGTGATATGTAAGTATGTATTTCTTATTATGGAATGACAATGCACAAAATGGAAAAAATATATACTTTATATATCTTGAAAAGGACTTGTTATCTGGAATATATAAACAGTTTTATAACTCAACAACGAAAGACAAAAGAACCCAATTAAAAATTGACAAAGGTCTTGAATACACCAACAAATACATGAAAAGATGATTAACATCTCAGTCATTATGAAAATGCAAATTAAAACCACAGTGAGATTCACCTTCGATTCTCTAAAAGAGCAATCATCAAAATAATTAAATATAACAAGTGTTGGTAAGCACGTGGAGAAATTGGAACTCATAAAAACTGCTGTGACATTATATAACGGTGCAGTCTGTGTTTAGAATGGTTTGGTGTTTCTTCAAAATTTTTAAAAAATACATTTAACTCTCCTCCCCAAAAAAGGTTTAACATACCATGCAACAATGCCATTCCTAGGTACGTGTCCCAAAGCACTGAAAACAGAAATGTTTGTGCCATCAGTCAGGGTCATGAAACTGAAGGACAGGCTCAGAAAGAGTTCCAGAAAAAGAAAACTGGATCAGATTGAAAAATAATTTTCCTCTATTGCAGAAGGTGGTAAAAGTGAAGCAGGCCTGCAGATCAGAATATAATGTAAAAATAATTGTATTTTCATGATTTGGGGGTCAGAGGTGACACCTTTGAGTGTTTTTCCACTGTGAGTAAAATACACTGCGGTATTTGATGCAAAGTTGCAAATCTAGAAAGGCAATAACCACTGGGGAATGGGAGAGAAAGGATCAAGAGTACTTCATACCACTAGTGCAGATTTCCTCTGAATTTGGAACTATCACCACATGAATTACTTTTTAAAACATCCTTGTCAATACCATGCCAGAAAACAAGGAGACAACATCAAACTTCATTACAAAGGCTAACAGTTCCAAACTCAGTTCAGCCAAAACTGTGAAACCATCACCCCTCTTAAGAAGAATCTGAAAGTTACTAGAGGCCATTCTGTGGAAGTTATATTAATATTAAGTCACTGTGTGATTATTATATGAATTTGACATTCCAGTATGTGGATATTCCATTGGTATGAAAGGCCGCTGTCTTGATGTTATAACAGCATGTCTGCCTGCTGACCAGACCAGCTGGGAAGGACCTGCAAATCTCTCACACCACTTGGACAACCTCATCAGACCCCACAAGCTGCCACTGCCCAGTCTCGTCCCACTAGGTCAAAGCTACTGCTGAGGACGTGGCGCCTTTTGGTGGTGGCAGTGGCAGAGGCCATTGGGCCTTGGAGTGCCCCATAAAGCAAGTGGATGCCCCAAAGCTCGGCCACATGTGAGACATGGGCTGGCAGGTCAGGGCCCTGGATGACCACTTTGTGTCAGTTCCAGAGACCTCACTTGGTCCCACAGTAAGAAGTAAAGTCCATAACCCTCCTGCAAAAAATAAAGTGCCTTCTGGAAATGACTTTAAAGTGTAGTTTAAATTAAATTAAATTAAGTCACCTCTTCACATTTGGTGAGTTAGAGGACATGGAAGCAGCCCTGAGGAAGAGAATAGGGTCTTATGCGAGATTTCTCATGTGGAAAAGGGGCTCCCAGTCCCAGAGGTCTCAGTCCATGAACAGTCAGCTCCATTCCTCGTGTCTCAAGGTGAGGCAGGACATCATGCCCAAAGAGTGTGGTGAAGGGAAGCCCCTCACATGGTGATCAGGCAGCAGAAAGACACAGAGAGACTTAACCCAGATACAAATATATACCTCCAAACCATGCTCCGATTCCCACCTCCATTCACACCTTACCACTTCAGTTACCACTCAATTAATCCCTATCAGGGGGATTAATTCACTTATTGGGTTAACACTCTTACAACCCCATCATTTCTCCTCTGAACCTTGTTACATTGTCTCACATGTGAGCTATTGAGGGACACCTCACATCCAAACCATAATAACATGACATTCAAGTTCAAAAGAAGAAATTCAAATTGTTAAAATAATAATTAAAAAATACTTTGGTACTTTTTAAAATGATATTTTGGAACAGAAGAAATTTTTTAATAGAGTTCACCAACAATTCCTAACAATTTATAAAGCATCCTGCTTACTAGAAGGCCCAGACTCTTACTTGCAGGAAAGGAGAGCAAATACCTTTCTATATCAAATTTTAATAAGACACATGAGTATGCTTTCTAAATTTGGAAAGACAAAAAAAGGAAGACTGTCTTTTTAACACAGAGAAAATTTATTCTTAGTAATATATGATTTACAAAAGACAGCTTCTGACTTGTCTCTTATGCGTTCTAATAATTTAAGTCCTGAGGAAATTTCATTTTAAATGGTTTTAGGCATCATGAAATATCAATACTTGACATTTTTTTAAAAATCACCATCTTGTTTCTATCTTCTAAAACTGATCCACATATTTTGCAAAGAACAATCTCATCCAAATTTGAAAAATTCTTGTGTGTGTGTGTGTGTGTGTATGTGCATATGATCTATTTTAAACAATATCACTGACAGTTGGCTCCTTCCTAAGACATCTCCTTAAATTTTTATCATTTATTTATTTAGCAATTCTGAAGATTGAGCCCAGGACCTCATGCATGCTAGGCAAGCACTCCATCACTGAGGTACAACCCCAGTCTCCAAAGATATCTTATTAAAATAAATTAAGTTAAAATCATTTAAAGGGCTGGGGATGTCTCTCAGTGGTAGAGCACTTGCCTGGCATGCAAGAGGCCCTGAGTTGAATCTTCAAAATAGAATCATTTAAAATTATGAGAAATCCTCAACATGACTTCTCTCAATCAAAAAGATCAGTTAAGAAGTATTTTTTAAAATTTCTTAATGAAAAATAGCAGAAGTACATGTGATAAAAATTCTGTAGAGGCCGGCCGAGGTGGTGTACACGCCTGGAATCCCAGTGGCTCTGAAGGCAGAGGCTGGAGGATCAAGAGTTCAAAGCCAGCCTCAGCAAAAGCAAGGCACTAAACAACTCAGTGAGACCCTGTCTCTAAATAAAATACAAAATAGCGAGTGCCCTCCAGTTCAATCCCTGGTACCAAAAAAAGAAAAAAGAAAAGAAAAGAAAAAAATCTGTAGAAAACTAGAAAGGGAAAAGAAATTAAAAGTGAAACAGTAGAAACTTGTTGAACTAAACAGGATACCTAAAAGAAATGAATAGTTCCCCATTAAAAATACACATTAACAAAATAAGAAAACCATAAATAGACCAATAAGCATAGAAAAGCTCCAAATGATGCTTAGAGATCTCCTATTGAAAAAGAGCCCAGAACTCTAGGAGTTCACAATTGGGTATAGATGGGCCTTTAACAAATTCTGATTTTATATAAATGGTCAAGATCTAGAAAAAAAAAAAAAGGAGACTTTTCAATTCATTTTATAGTATAACAAATGTCCAAACTTGATATAATTGAGATATTGCATCTAATGCAAGATGTCAGTGTTCACACATCAGGTGTTATTTTATGTACCTTCCCAAACATACTACCAATGAAACTGTAAGATTATCAACTAAAGAAAAGGTTTTGTTAATGAGTTTACCTCTATGAAAGCCACAGAGTAAGTTTGTAACAAGTTCCAGCTTTGGTATAAATAATATATTTATTTGTTTATTTTAATTAGTTATACATGACAATAGAATGCATTTATGTACTTTGATATACATAGATAGATATAATTTCTCATTTTTCTGAGTGTACATGTTACAGAATCATATTGGTCATTCAGTCACATATATATATATATATAGATAGTAATAATATCTGTTTCATTCTACTATCTTTCCTAACCCCAATTCCCCTCCCCTCCTCTCCCATCACTTTCCTCTACCTAATCTAAGGTAATGCTATTCTTCCCTAATGCCCCCGACCCGTTATTGTAAATTATCATCTGCATAGTAGAGGAAAACATTTGGCCTTTGGTTTTGTGGGATTGGCTTATTTCGTTTAGCATGATAAGCTGAAATAGTATTGTGTTAATGCACCTACTTCAATTTTTCAATACTGTTTCTACTATTAGAAATGAATCTTCAATGCAAAAAAAAAAAAAGAAGAAAAGAAAAGAAATGAATCTTCAAAACAAGAATAAAAGCAAGTGATAGGGTGTGCAGTGGCCTTTTCCCCTGTGCTGGGAGTTGGCTCCCTATCTCAGCATTCTGCCTTGGGCCATTAACACATGTTAGGAATGGGAGACATGCTGACCCAGGAAGGAAACCTCATTACAGAAGTCACTGTAAATCGGCCCCATTCCAGAGGAAAGTGCTCAGTCAACATGTTCTGCAATGACTCCCCGACCCTTCCCTTTCTAATAATATCTTCCTCTTTTGTCTTAAATCACCTCTATTAACAGGTTGTTTGCATTTTTTTTTGTTGTTTTTTTTAGATTTTTTTTTTTTTTCTGCTTTATCAAAGATATTCTCTCAGGAAGTGGTGGAAGATGGGCAAGGGGACCTCTGGCTACACCTGCATGGACTGAGGTGTGAAAAGACTAGCCTGCAGGTCCCCTAAGTGTTGGGGTGTTTCTACCCCATCTGCATCCTCAGCCCAGCCCAGGTGACTGGTGAAATATAAAGGAATAAGGGCCATCTACAGGACACTGGAATCTAGCCCAGACAGCAGGTGGCAGGAGCTACATAGTAGAATGGGTCAGTGTGATTTGAGACTGCAGGGAGCCACCACATGGACATTACCTGGTTTTCTGGCCACATTGTTTTGCACCCAAAGGGCATTGTGATATCGAGTTGAAATCTGGGGGCACTTAGGAATTGGAAGACAGGGAAGCACATGAGGGTGGCCTGAGAACAAAGGATGTAAATCTAGCTCCTGGGCTTGTGCTGGGGTGAGAAGTTGAGGGCATCAGCCTTCACTGGAGCAGACATAGCCCAGGCCAATGTAGAAGCTTCCAGAAATCTGCCTAAATGGAACTTGGAAACTGCATCTGTACTCATGTATATATGCATTTATTTCTCAATCCCTTGCATCTGCTCTTTGGTTTTCAGTAGTCTCTCCTTACAAGTGGTGAGCAGTCCCCACTTATCCCTGCTTCTGCACCCCAGGATTCAACCAACAAAGAACTGAAAATAATTCAGGAAAAAAAATTTGTAATGAAAATGCTTTTCTGGTATTACTTCCTAAGCAACACAATATAACTATTTACATAGCATTTATATTGTAGTAAATGTAAGTAACCTAGAGATGATTTAAATATATGGAAGGTTTGCATAGGTTATATGCGAATGCTACACCATTTTATATAAGGCACTTGAGCATCCATGGATTTTGGTATGAGGTATCAAGAGACAACTGAACTGAAGTTTAAAAATACATCAGAGGGGCTGTAGCTGTAGCTTAGTGGCAAAGCACTTGCCTAGCATGCGTGAGGCATGGGGTTCAATCTTCAGCACCACATAAAAAATAACAAATGATATAAAGGCATTCTGACCATCTACAATTATAAAAAACTTTAACAAGTCTAAAAATTTTCCCCAGAAAGAACTCAAACATTCATGAGTATGGGGGTGGGGGGAAACTCCAAAGCAGGAAAACACCTTTAAAAATGCTGTTACAAAATTTTAATAAAATCTGTGTGTAGTTAATCCATGATTCCTTACCTCCTAATTGCAGTCCAATTCCCTAATCCTTATGTAAAGCATACTCCAAGTTAGAAGAGGATTTTGGACAACGGTTTTATTGTCCAATAATTGCAGGAGCTTGTGCTTCGAAGGGAAGGGAAGGACCTTAGACCTTTCCCAGACTTTTCTTGATGAAGTGGCTCACCAGTCGCTGCGGCCTCTGCTCGTACTCAGCAAGCACCTCGTGGGGGCTGGTGATCTGGTCCCCTTTCAGGCGGTCCAGATAGGTGACACACACCACGGCCGCTGCAAAGAGCAAAGGTAACATTAAGGCAGAGCACCAACTCTCTGGGTTAGTTCACTGACATGAAGGAAGGACCAGGGAACTCAGAGGAGCTGATTGTGCTACCCGCCAGGAAGCTGGGGTCCATTCTAGCACCAGCCACAGTGATGTGTTGGCAGATGCAGCAGGAGAGAGAAAGATCCTCAAGTGCTCCTCCTGCCTCTTCCCATTGTTTCCAAAAGGCATTCCCAGTCCAATCCCAGGACCAGATCCTGGCTGCCCTATACTACCCCAAAGAGCACATGTTATCTCAGGTGATAGGGATATAGGGCATTCTGGAAGGCGGAGTTGGACTTGAAGATGACTAGGAATGTGGGGGTGGATTAGCCACAATCAGAAAGCTAAAGAGTTTCAAGAGCCAAGCTCTTGGTAAGCATGGAGGGATCATATTATATGGCAACACAGTCTGAGCTAAGGTAGGTCTCTTTCTTATCCCTCTCAGTAATGTGGGGAGTTGCTGCAGACACACTGAGGAACCTTGCATTCTGTGTGTGACAATCAAAGGACACTGTACACATGGGTCCAGGAATGCCACCTAGGTGAGAAATTACCTTGTGGCAAGGTTACAAGAAGTCAGAAAGCAGTACTGGGGAGTCTTGGGAGGAGGAGCCTTAGTGGGGCTTCTGGATGAGCCAGCAGAGCAGAGACAGAGGAAGAGACCAAGGCCATAACCTGCCCTCCTACCTCGGAGACCACATGTTCTGCACATGGAGGCAAAGACTGAAGATTCCATCTCGATGTTCCGGATGCCTGCAGCCTGGGCCGCTTGTAGATAGGCCTGCTTGTCCTTCTCCGTATAGAAACAGATGGCACCGTCCAGACGGCCTTGACCTGCAGCACACAGAGACATGAGAACCACATATAGGTGTCAGCTCCTACTGCATTCTTGCAGTGTGCCACCTCCAGTACATGGGGATGGGGGCCCACCCATCGCCCACCTATGTGCCCACTCAAATCAACCATGGTAGCCAACATGAAAAGGTTGCAGCTGGAACAGTAGCCCATGTATGGACATCCTCACCCAGAGAGCAGCCCACCATCCAGGGCAGGATCAGGGAACAGACTAGGGCTATCTGGACCAGAGGTACCTCACCCATCGTCTCACCCTCATAGAAGTCCAAGGAACATATGGTGTTCCCCACCACTGTGGTGAATTCCTTCAGGTCTGCAGAACACTGCATCAATTCCTGCACCAACTGCTCATCCATGTCCGTGTTTCGAACAACCCGCTTCCCCAGGACAATCTGCTCAAACTCTGGCTTGAAGCAGGCATCCACTGCCTGCCGGGTGATGACTACAGAGCCAGGCTCCAGACCTAAGGACAGAAACAGATGACATGGCTGCGCATGGCAGATGGGACAGTGCTCAGCAGAAATGTGGAGAAAAGAATATGACCCATTGGCACACGAAAGTACTAAAGGATCTGGAACTGTGCTCAAAAATACACTACAACCCGCTTCCCACTAAAAGCTTTTTCTGACTACATAAGTAATTAACACATAATCATATGGAGAAGCACAAAATAAAATATAGACATTGCCAGGAACCTCCATGCCCTTTGTCAAATATTTGTAGCTTCTAGACATTGCTATTTTTTACCATTGTCTGGGCTCTATAGTATAGGTGATTGTGATGTATTTAATTCCTAAATTAATGAATGAATATTTAACATTAACAACTTAATGTTCTGTAGTATTTTATTATATAAGCTTTCAAGAAATACAAAAGCAAATAATAGTATGAGACCCCCCCTCTCCATACATCCCTAGCTTCAGTAATAACCAGTCCCTGACCAACTTGATTTTCCTCAGCGATTGATGCATTATTAGGTCCTATTTTTGTGTCTGTTTCTGGGCATACCTTCCTGGAAAATTTTCTTGTTTGTAAGAATAATATTCTGCTCATTATTCTTTTGTCCTATAATAGCTTTCCATGTGATTATTTATTTATTTGGGTGCAGAAGTTGAACCCAGAGGCACTTGACCATTGATCCATATCCCCAGTACACCGCCACCTTTTCTTAAATTTTGAGACAGGGTCTCGCTAAGTTGCTTAGGGCCTTGTTAAGTTGCTAAGGCTGGCTTTGAACTTACATTCCTACTGCCTCAGCTTCCCAAGCCATCGGGATTACGAGTGTGCACCACCATATTTAGCTTTCCATGGGATCTGACCATTGTTGTGGAGTGAATGTTTGTCTCCCTCCATAATCTGTATAATGAAATCCTCACCCCCAAGGCAATGATGGTCTTAGGAGGCAGGGTTTTGGGGAAGTGATTAGGTCATGACTGTGAAGCCGTAATTAATGGATTAGCACTCTTAGAAAAGAGATCCCAGAGAGATGCCTCAGCCCTTCCACCATGTGAGGACACATCCAGGACACACCATCTATGAACAAGAAGGCAGGCCCTCACCAGACACTCAACCTGCCAGAACCTTGATCTTAGACTTCTAGCCTTCAGAATTGTGAGAAATAAATTTCTTTTGTCTAAACCATGCAACTCTGGTTATTTTTGTTATATTAATCCAATGGACTAAGACAATCATGATCCTTTCCTGATATTTATTTTGAAGTGACAGTGGAAGCATGAATGAACCAGGATAACTTTTCTCAAGCTCCCACACTGGTTGTTTTTTGTGAAACATTTAAAATGTGGCCAACTCTGGCTGTTCTGCTTCCCCATGGTAGGTATCAGAACTTCCCCTTGCCCCTCCTATGAATGGTGGTCAGTGCTGAGCTTCCATCAGCAGTTTTTTTCAGCTTTGAGATTGCACCTACAACAAAGCACCCTGAGCCCTGATTGTTCATGGGGCCTGAGATGTTGCACCCTCAGGTCTCAGCATCACCTTTCCCTCATGGCAGGTGGTAGGTTCCATATCAAACCCACATTTTTCCTAGATATTCCTGTTGGCTGTCTTGAAATTACTCTGTGCTCAGGTTTTTCAGTTGCCTGTAGCCCTGAGATTCTTCCTAAATAGGTAATGATATTTGTCCCCACCCATTCATATTTTGAGATTTGTGAAAATACCATCTCACATTTTATCATCAATGATGTCCAATACTTTTGGGTCTTGTTCTCTCGTTGCATTTTCCATTTTTATGGGGTAATCGAGGGAACATTCTATACTACTTCCCACAAAAAAACTTCTGGTCATAAACTTTAACAGTCCCTCTGTATTAGAAACTCAAAAATAACTTGCAAGATCTCTTAGTAGATGTTTGGTATGAGATGCATGGTCCCAAATATCTGGTTGGTGGTACCAGAAATTAAGTTTGTAAGACAGAGATGGTTCATGGCCATTGGTATGCTTTTCTTTAAACTTGGAATTATAACCATGCAAACACAGATTTTGCATATATCTTTATCTGAGGAAAAGAAAAAATAACACAATCATCCCTCCATATCCCTAGGTTCCACACCTTTGGATTCAATCAACTGCAGATCAAAAACATTTGAAAAAAATACTGCACCTGTACTGAGCACCTACAGACTTTTTTATTGTCATTATTCCCTAGATAGCATAGTGTAAACAACTATTTACATAGCATTTACACTGTATTCAGTAGTATAAGTAACCTGAGATGATAAAAAGTATGTGAGAGGATATATGTAGATTATATTACAAGCAAATATTGTACCATTTTATTTAAGAGAAGCATCTGGAGATTTTGGTATATGTCAGGGATCCTGGAATCAATCCTTTTCATATACCAAGAAACAATTGTATATTCAGAAAATCTAGGGTCTAAAATAAGTCTCTTATCTAAGTAAAAAAAAAAAATTAAATTCTCACACTACCCTAAACCCAAGAGAAACCAGAGCTAGACAGTCAGGAACAATTTGCAGGGGCCTAGTTGCTAACCTAAGGACTAAACTTGCCTTGCAGTGAATTCAGGTTCTTTCCACTAGCTCTATCTCCTTACTGGGAGTGGTAAGTGCCAGAAAGTAGGAAGACCGGCACAGTGTTGGGACCTGAGAGAGTGGGACAGCTTACTTAAAGCCTAATGGACTTCTGCTTTGAGTATGTCGTCTCCCCTCCCAAACTCCAAAACTCCTGTTGAAATGTACACCCCATTATGAGATATTAAGAGGTGGGATCAGGTGGGGCCTTTAAGAGGTGATTAGTGCTCTGCCCTCATGAAAGATTGATTCCTTCAAGGCAATTAATAAACTAATGAGTCATCTCATGGCCTAGTTTGGCTAGGTCTCTCTCCTATCCTGTGTCTCACCTCATGATGATGCCCTGCACCATGTTGGGACTCTGAAAGAAGAAGGCATCACCAACAACCTTGGACAATAACCATGAGCCCAAATTAATTAATCTCTTCTCTTTACAATCCGCCCAGTCCGTGGTGTTGTGTTATTAGCAACAGAAAGGGACTAAGAGACAATTTAACAATTTTATCATTTTGGTTTCTCATTAAATCCTGTTTTTGTTTTTTTAAAACAGGCTGAGAACTGAGAATTTCTGGGCTAGTTTAAGGACTTTTACCTGAGGTTTGCATTCTACCTTTCCTTCCCTCTTTGGGTTTTTGCTGGTTTGCTCATAAGGTATTTCAAATTCTTTCAGGAATAGGAGGAGGAAGAGTGAGCACAGGAGAGGAGAGAGGCAGAGAGGAAGGATTAGAAAGAATAAAGAGAATCAAGCAAATAAAAATACAGGAATTATGTAGCTTCAGAAGGACAAGCTTCTGCAGGTTCCTGGCATGATGACTCCCAGCTGTGATCTCTGGGGTTCAGGCTGGGAGAATGGGTGAGACCAAAAAAAAAAAAAAAAGTTTCTTTTGCCTCCTATTAATCTGTTCTTGAACAAATCTCAGATAGGTTGTACCAAACCTCATACATGCTGGAGCTGCTACAGGGGCTCTGGCCCCTTGCTATTCACAGAGCAGCCCTTACCTATGCCACCAGAAGTGCCGATACGGATGACGCTGACGTTGGAACACTTGGCATGGTACAGCAACTTGATGAGCTCATGCAACATGATTGCAATGGAAGGAACGCCCATCCCATGCTGGAATCAGAGAGAAGCCAAAGATGAATGCTAGACTGCACTTTTCTTATTGCAGTAGCACCCCTGCCCCATTGGAGGGTTTGCACTCCATAATTTCAGTTTCAGAGGACAACAAGAAAAGTACAGTATTATGAGATATTTGGAGAAACAGAGACCACATTGAAGAAACTTCTATTATAAAATATTATCGTAATTTTCCTATTTTATTAGTGATTGTTGTTAATCTCTTACTGCACCTAATTTATAAGCTAAATTTTATCATAGGTGTGTATGCATAGGAAAACACATTACATGCATGGTTTGTTGGTGCTCTCCTGGGTTTTAGATGTCCACTGGGGTTGGAGGTCTTAAAACTTATCTCCTGTGAGTTAGGGGGAACTACTTTATTCTGGTTGACCTTTTGTGTCTCGTACTTCAATCTAATAAACTCATCATAGTGACAATAAGATGAACACTATTAACACTTCAAGAAACTTAAAGTGTACAGAGAGTTCGTTATATGTGAGCCCAATGATCTGTAAAAACCTGTTAAGCAGGAGCAGTAGAAGAACCAGAAGCTCAGCAGAAAATAACAGCTGCTACTGCTGAGTAACAAATAGCTCCTTCTGGCATTTGAAGCCTGCACAGTTGCCTACCACCCACACACCAGTTAAAAGTTTTACCTTTTTGCTTTTCTCCTTAGCCTCTCTGTTTCAGATTAGGTAACTGGCTGATCCCTCAGTCCCCAACATCAGATCACTTGCTGAATCTGCACGGTGTTTCCTCCTCTAAGGGTCTCTCTGCATACCTCCCCCTGACTTTTCAAGACACTCCTGCAGCCATACCTTCTACCCCTCACTGGGATGCACTTAGCACAGGAGCAGATGCTGTTCCTGCAGCCCTATGGGAGAAGGGTCCCTTTGAGAATTTATCAATGTCTACACACAAGAAATGCTTTCCTAAACTCTCTATAATTAAATGATGTCTTGCCTCTATGTTATGTTCCAGACAGAGGATATTGCTAGAGGTCTCATCTGACCAGAACATTAGGAATGCATGTCTCAACAGGAGGGCTATCATTTGCTAACTATGTAGCTCTTCATTTACATTGCTGCTGACAAAGGAAATCAAAACTGAAAAATGAGAAGATTTCTTTGGTAGAATACTAGAGATTTCTGTGTTCATTCTTATTGATAAGCAAAAATTTGTTATAAAGTAACTCACTATAAGAAGGCCTGGTGTTTGTAGCTCTCCTTAATACCCTGGTTAGGGCTGGATACCCCTTCTACACTCTGCTCATATACTCCCTGCACCTGCCACCCACACACTGTATGGACAGCTGTGTGTATTTGCATTTATATTTACATTTATGTACATAATCTCTCCAAGGGACTGAGCCTCAAGAGCAGGAGCCTGAGTTCCTTCTGTTTATCTGTGTATCCCAGCTGCTAAGGATTGAATTTGCTCCCAGCTTTTACACTAAGCAGGTATTAGGGACCAGTTAGCTATGTGTGCACAGGGGCAAGGCCTTGCAGAGCCTAGACACAAAGTCCAAATTTCACTCAGGTGACTAAGTCTCCAGATACTCACACTCACAGACAGCACTGGTCCAACTTTGTACATGGCAAAGCGGTCAGTGCCTACACAGATATTGGGGTACTCTTCTCCTGGATGGTCAAGGCCCAGCTCTACGGCAATGTATCTGATAAATTTCTTCATCCGGGAGGGGCTCCCACCAACACACACAAACTGTAACCATAGAAGAAAGACCCCATGAGTGCACTGTGTACAACATAAGTCCTCAAAGTTGGTGTCATCTAGGAACTTAGAAATCCAAGAAATCCAAGAAACCCAGGATAACACCAACAAACCATTCATGAACTTAGAAATCCAAGCAATGGTATGGGACTAAGCACAGGCAGCCCTGTAGCACAACACAGTTACTCCACAAATGCAGGGCCCAGACTCTTGCTCTTTGATAGGGCAATTCTAGACATCATGCATGCTCAGGCTCCCTGCACTGTGGAAGGCAGCCCAGCTGTGGAATGAGCAGGATTAAGATGGTGTGAGTTCCTCACTGTCCCTCCACCTCTTTGTGTGACCAGAGTCCCACAACTCACCTGGAAAATAGGCTACAAATTACTCCCTCTCACCTGGTCCCCTGAAAGTCAAATGGCCAATGCATGAAGAGCCAGGGATCTTGTAGGAACTTAGGAAGCTTTAGCTATTGTCAGTTGGTATCTCTCAGAAAAGTAAAAACTTTATTTTGTCACATAAGAAAATATTTGTTTTGAAAAAAACAAAAAGCAAATAAGCCAGTTTAAGGATTAGGAAGATTAAAGAAATAAATTTTAAGTGTTTTTTTTTTTTAATTTTTAGTTGTTGATGGACCTTTATTTTATATGTGGTGCAAAGAATCGAATTCAGTGCCTCACACATGCTAGGGAAGCACTCTACCACTGAGCCATATCCCCCAGGTTGTTTTGTTGTTTTTTGTTTTTTTTTAATGTTTATTTTGAGACAGGGTCTCACCAAGTTGCTTAGGCCCTAAATTGCTGAAGCTGTCTTTGAACTTGTGTCCCTACCGTCTCAGCCTCCCCAACCACTGGGATTACAGGCATGCACCATCACACTCAGCTATTTACTTATTTTTTTGATGTGGGTTCTCACTATGGTGCTCAGGCTGGCTCTGAACTCCTGGGCTTGAGTGATCCTCCCATCTCAGCCACCCAAGTACCTGGAACTACAGGCATTAAGTTTATTTTATATACTGTTTCAATTATATTCTAAGAGATGAATTAAAAGCCAGTATGAAAGTATTTAGAATAGTTTTCTTTTTCACTTGCTATTCATATGGTGATTGAGAAATCACACTTTGTAAAAATTTGAGAAAAATATAACATCATGAGCCTGTCACCAGTCACTTCTCAGTCACCTGTGAGCAGGTCTGCATATCATATAGGAGGAGGCTGATCCTAAGACAAATTCCTAGAATTAAAAGCCTGGCTTTTTACCTTCACATCTCCAAACATAGCTGGGAAATCACATGTGCTAGTGCTGAGATTGAAATGATAGAGAATATCTTCCTTCATTGCTGCTACATGTGGATTTGCAAGTTGGATAAGGCGGTTGCTGTTAGAAAATAAGAAAATAGAGGGTTTATGTAACATCAATTCCAATGACCAGCATCATCACAGAAGTGCCACATGTGAGTGCGATGTGTGAGGCACATGTTGGGGAAGGAGCACAGGCAGACCCTGGGGATAAGACAACACTACACTGTCAAAGTCCCCACTTCCCCATCTCCTTCCTCATAATTCCTCTTTGTTCCCAGGGCCACTATTAGAAGACAATGAGGAAAATTCAGAAAAATACACAACAGCATAAAGATCAAAATGTTAAATCACCCCATACAAAAAGTATAGCCAGTTGCTATCCCAATACAGTTCATTGATACATAAATATAACTTTATTTTAAAAGTAATGTGTTTACCATAAGAAAGATTGTCAGAGATAGAAAAAAGAAGTTCTATTTTTACCACCCAAAGGTAATGCCTTGAATTTCATTTTCTTATGCACTAGCTACCACGTCACCCATGTAGTGCCTATTACGAGTAGTGAGATAAGACTTCCATCCATTTTATTTTTTTTTTTTCAGAATGGCTTACAAGCCATTCTAGAGAACATGTATGTTGATTCACATTACATTTCTTTGTGACAGCACACTGCTGCTGTAGAACAGGGGTCAGCAAGCTTTTTTGGCCAGACAGTAAATATAGTTTTACAGATCACTAAGTTTCTGTCATGACTCAAGTCTGCCATTGTCTCGTGAAAGCAAGACGGACAACACACAAATGAGTGTCTTTGTGTTCCAGTGAAGCTTTACGTACAGAAACAGGTGTCCCAGGTCTCGACAGCTCCACCTACTGTCTGCCAAAGTCCCTCAGAGCCAACCTTCAACATGACTCCTTCACAATGCCTGCCTCTGATTCCCAGAGATGGCATGGGAATACACTTCAAAAGCAACACCTTTGCAAAAACTTGATAAACACATAATATCATGAGCCTGTCACCATCACCTCTCTAGCATCTGTGAGCAGGTCTACGTATCATAAAAGAGAAGTCTGATCCTATGACAAAAATTCCTAGAATTTAAAGCCTGGCTTTTTACCATCACCTCCCCAAACATTGCTGGGAAATCGTGTGTGCTAGTGCTGAGACTGAAGGAAACCAAGGTGCTCTGAACTCAGAGCAATCAGGCCTTCTGGTTTTTTTTTTTTTTTTTTTTTTTCCCCTTCTGTATCTTGACTTCTTGCCCAGACCTTACTGATATGTTTCATTTTCAATCTAACTCAAGAGAAAAGAAAAAGGATGCAAGAGAGAGCAATGTTCTCAGCTGCCTATGATTTGGCAATATGAACGATGGGGTTCATATTGCTAAACCACAGGCAGATGGTTTGACTTTATGATGGTGTGAAAGTGGTACACATTCAGTAAAACCATACTTCGAATTATGAATTTGGGTCTTTTCCCAAAGTAACAATACACAGTACAATCCTCTCTTGTAATGGTCAGCGGCAGCTTCCTCTGCTCCTGGTCAGCCATGCTCTATGGTGTGCTGTGTTACTAAGCTGGAAGTGATGTGTATTAAATGTATTTCAATTTGCAGTATTTTCAACCTACAATGGTTGAGAGGTCATTACCCATCGTAAGTCAAGGAACACCTATACCATTAAACATGGGGGCGCTCCCCTGAGACCTCATCCATCCTCCCTCTCTCCAGAGGATGCATTGTACCTGACCTATATTTCATTATTAAAAATTATTTTTATGTTTAACATAAGAACTATAATTATCTCCAGTAACAAAAACTTCTGGAGGCCCTGACCATGTCCTACTTATCTGAATCCCCAATAGCTCAAGCAGACATGCAAAACAAGGTTGAAACACCTTCTCTGTTTTCTCTACCTGTTGATTCCATTTCTTTCTGGCAGTCAGCATCAATGACAACCCCAAGGGTTCCCACATCTACCTCTACCTACATCAGTTTGCTTCTTGTTTTCATGTTCTCAAATTTCCCCTCCTGTCCATTCCCCTAGAGTGCTGTCCAGCTTAATTCAACACATGAACATTTTTGAAAGGCTAACAGAGAAAAGATTAGTATAAAAGACTAAAGAGAGAGGAAGATCTTCATAAAGGGAGTGGGGGATGGTTGACTGTCTCATGGGCAAGTGTTAGGAAATACATCAGAGAAAGCCATGGCCAGCAGATCAACTCTCAGCTGTCAATCCCTCCTGATGTGCCAACCATATGCAGAGACTGTGCTGATGGCACTCTGGGCACAAGTGCTGGGAACCTTGCTCAGAAAGGGCATGCAAGATCCACCTGCCCTGAGTCCACCTCTTCCTGACAAGGCTTCCTGCTTCTTCAGACACAGGTTTCACTTTACTTGGGGAAACAGATATTTTTCAAGGAACCAAATCCAAGAATATTCCTAGATTTCCCCCAAAAGCCTTTCTTTTCTATAGGGCAATCTGAACTTCTGACCATCATAGGAGTCTCCACACTCTTTCAGTGATAATTGTGTTCAGTGGAACCATGGTTCCTTTCTCCCTCAGGATGTTAGGAACACAGTACATAAAACAGAAGGACAAAGCACAAACTTTGACACAACAGGATGTGATGATAACAACTTGGCCACCTATTTCAAAATAGAAAATGTTCTTTTATTCTTGGTTCCAGAAAGAGCAGGAAAAGGAAACAGGGTGTAACTTTGAAAGACTACCAATGATTTTAAAATATATAACTTTTGGCATGTACCTTAAAGTAACATGTCAGAGCCATAGTACTTAGAAAGATATTTCTCTACTCTATATGCAACTCCAAGGGAATTTATCTTGATTTATTCTATTATTTTATTCATTGAAAAAATTATTAATCGAGATCCTACTATTGAGCCCACAAAAGCAGGACAGGAGGCCACCCCAGGCAACCCAAGCAAAGGTAATAGACAATCAGGTGGTGAAGAAATTAGAAAAGTCAGTTGATTTAAAGTCCACGTAATAGGACCTGGGGTTACATTTCAGTGATTGCATGTGTGCTTGTTAGCAAGCTCAAGGTCCTGGTTCAATGCCAAACACACACACACACAAAGTCCATGTAGAAATCAGGCAAAGATAAGAAATTTTTGCTTTGTTAGCAATGCCCAAACTTAAAGGCTTAAAAGAGGTGTCATTAAAAGCACAGGGTAGCCAAGCACCCTGGTGCATGCCTATGATCCCAGCAGCTCAGGAGGCTGAGGCAGAAGGATCAAGAGTTCAAATCCAGCCTCAGCAAAAGCAAGGCACTAATTAACTCAGTGAGACCCTGTCTCTAAATAAAATACAAATTAGGACTGGGGATGTTGCTCAGTAGTCTAGTGCCCCTGAGTTCAGTCCCCAATATCCATAGAAGAAAAAGCATATGATAGAAAGATGAAAAATTAGAAGGAAATTAGGAAAATATTTAAGATCCCACAGCTAGGAGATGAGCAGGAAATTTTGTTTAAGAAAAGTGGCTGCGTATAGAACAAAATTCACAAATGTTAACATTGAACTGCCTGGACTACTGAGACCACATGTCCAGAGGGTTAATAGCAGAAACCCCAGCACCCACGCTGAAGGTCTTGATCACCTGAATTAAGAAACTTTCAAGCCCTTAACCTCTCAGCTCTCAGTCTATGTCATGAGAATCAAATGCATTCACATATGCCAAGCTCTTAGAAAGATGAGTGGCTCAGAGCATACAATAAAACCAGACCAACCCTTCCCAACCTTGCATGGGTCAGCCTTACTTATGAGAGTTTTCATGTTCCTTTGCTTCAGCTCTTGCAGCCGCCATGCTGTCACTGTGGCAGGACCCTAAGGACAAAACATTGCACAAAACAAGTGAATGTACCCAACAGGAATTAAGGTCATGAGCAGATTTCAGGAATGTGGAAAGTCAGTGCCAAGAAGTGGACGTCCTCATGCATTTACACCATGTAGATGGTGCAAATGTGTACAGTGCCTGTGTATGTGTTTAAAGGGTTACTCATTTCAGAAAGGAGATGGCAAAAAAGGTTCCAACAGGCCAAAGATGGATCTCACACTTTTTAGAGAGTCTGTCCCCACTTCCTGCTTTCCCAGCCCAGGTGTAATTAGAAAGTCATTGGCACTACAAACCACACCCCTCTGCCTTACCCTTCTATAACACTTATTATCCTCTTCCAAGTTTTACAGGCAGCAGGGGGAAGAGAAGGATCAAGTGATCGGCAAGTCAAGGACATGAACAGACACTTTGCAGAAGAGGATATTCAATCGATCAAGAAATGTGAAAAAAATGTTCATCATCTCTAGCAATTAGAGAAATGCAAATCAAAACTACTCTAAGATACCATCTCACTCCAGTCAGAATGGCAGCTATTATGAAGACAAACAACAATAAGTATTGGTGAGGATGTGGGCGAAAAAGGCACACTCATACATTGCTGGTAGGACTGCAAATTGGTGCAGCCAATATGGAAAGCAGTATGGATATTCCTTGGAAAACCTGGAATGGAATCACCATTTGACCCAGCTATCCCTCTCCTTGGTCTATATCCAAAGGACTTAAAAACAGCATACTACAGGGACACAGCCACATCAATGTTTATAGCAGCACAATTCACAATAGCTAAACTGTGGAACCAACCTAGATGCCCTTCAGTAGATGAATGGATTAAAAATGTGGCATATATACACAATGGAATATTTCTCAGCAATAAAAGAGAATAAAATCATGGCAATTGCAGGTAAATGGATGCAGTTGGAGAAGATAATGCTAAGTGAAGTTAGCCAATCCCAAAAAAACAAATGGTGAATGTTTTCTCTGATATAAGGTGACTGACTCATAGTGGGGTAGGGAGAGGGAGCATGGGAGAAATAGACAAACTCTAGATAGGGCAGAGGGGTGGGCAGGGAAAGGAGGGGACATGGGATTAGCAATGATGGTGGAATGTGATGGACATTATTGTCCAAAGTACACGTATGAAGACATGAATTGGTGTGAACATACTTTATATACAGAGATTGAAAAATTGTGTTCTATATGTGTAATAAGAATTGTGATGCATTACACTGTCATGTATTTAAAAAATAAAAGCAATTTTTAAAAAAGTGATTAGCAAGCAAAGGCCCCCTGAGAGCAAAGGGCCTGAGCTGATGTGCCTCAGTGCACTGGCCTGCCTCCCCTGCAAAGCCTAAAGGAGCATAGCACAAAAGTTAATAACTAGAATCAACAAATGGGACTTACTCAAACTAAAAAGTTTTTTCTCAGAAAAAGAAATAATAAGAGAGGTAAATAGGGAGCCTACACCCTGGGAACAAATCTTTATTCCTTACACTTCAGATAGAGCCCTAATATCCAGAGTATACAAAGAACTCAAAAAATTAGACAATAAGAGAACAAACAACCCAATCAACAAATGGGCCAAGGACCTGAACAGACACTTCTCAGAGGAGGACATACAGTCAATCAACAAGTACATGAAAAAATGCTCACCATCTCTAGCAGTCAGAGAAATGCAAATCAAAACCACCCTAAGATACCATCTCACTCCAGTAAGATTGGCAGCCATTAGGAAGTCAAACAACAACAAGTGCTGGCGAGGATGTGGGAAAAAGGGTACACTGGTACATTGCTGGTGGGACTGCAAATTGGTGCAGCCTATTTGGAAAGCAGTATGGAGATTTCTTGGAAAGCTGGGAATGGAGCCACCATTTGACCCAGCTATTCCCCTTCTTGGTCTATTCCCTAAAGACCTAAAAAGAGCATGCTACAGGGACACTGCTACATCGATGTTCATAGCAGCACAATTCACAATAGCAAGACTGTGGAACCAACCTAGATGCCCTTCAAACGAATGGATAAAAAAAATGTGGCATTTATACACAATGGAGTATTACTCTGCATTAAAAAATGACAAAATCATAGAATTTGCAGGGAAATGGATGGCATTAGAGCAGATTAGGCTAAGTGAAGCTAGCCAATCCCTAAAAAACAAATGCCAAATGTCTTCTTTGATATAAGGAGAGTAACTAAGAACAGAGTAGGGACGAAGAGCATGAGAAGAAGATTAACATTTAACAGGGATGAGAGGTGGGAGGGAAAGGGAGAGAGAAGGGAAATTGCATGGAAATGGAAGGAGACCCTCAGGGTTATACAGTGGAGGGGGTAGAGAGAGAGGAGGGGAGGGGAGGGGAGAGGTGGGGAGGGGGGATGGTGGAGGATGGGAAAGGCAGCGGAGCACAACAGACACTAGTATGGCAATATGTAAATCAATGGATGTGTAACTGATGTGATTCTGCAATCTGTGTATGGGGTGAAGGTGGGAGTTCATAACCCACTTGAATCAAAGTGTGGAATATGATATGTCAAGAAATTTGTAATGTTTTGAACAACCAACAATAAAAAAATAAATAAATAAATAAATATCAGAGAACATTTTCCAAATAGAGACCTTATGAATGTAATGAACTTTTTCAACATCAGAGAATTCATATGAGATTTTTTAAATACTTATGAATTTGATAAATATAAGGTCTTTTAGCCAGGCTTTGTTCTATACCTTGGTTCATACCTAAAGTTGCCACCTTTAGGTGGTTTTATATATCCTGGAGAATATAGTAAAATAAATTTTCTATATAATATGAAAAAAAAAAAGCCTAAAGGAGAGGGTTGCACATGCAGAATTGCAGTTGTTTTACTGGAGCACACTAGGTATAAAACACTCCCAAAACATTTCACTGTGTGGACAAGGGCAGTTTTGCCAGAGCACTTTGGAGAACGGTGAGGCTCACATGTTGAACTCAGCTCACAAAGCAATAAATCTGAGTGCCTTGCACCTGCCACACCTTTCAACTCCTGCAACAACCTTGCAGGAAAGGCAGGATTGCTTCAGAGAGAAGGAAACCGAAGCCCTCAATGAGCCATGGTTCATAAAGATGGCCAGTAGAAGTCTGCAGGGCGAAACCATTTTCCTATGCCCAGGGCTGATGTTCCCACAACATGGTTCTCACCCTTGATTCTCACCAGTTTCTTATCCCCAACTAAAACCCAAAAGGACCCAATTGATACTGACCATTTTCAGTAAATTTTGAAAATGAGAAAATTATAGTAGCTGAATCTGGAGCAAAAAAAAAAAAGTCCCTGCAATTGCCACCTGTCTTTTTTCTCCATCTAGCTTTGTTCTACCTTGGCATTTGCCAAACTCTTCTTTGGAAATCTCAACCTTACTGCAGTCCAGGTAAGGGAAGCTTAAAAAAAAAAAAAAAAAGGAATATGTTGTTTTGGGTTTTCTTTCCTTCTCTTTTATGTTTTTGGTTTTGATTGTTTTTGTGTTGCTGGGGATAAAACCCCTGCTCTGCTCTTGAACATGCTAGGCAAACACTACCACTAATTATATCCCCAGCCCAGGAATGAGTATTTAAAAAGGTACCACCTCTCACCCTGTATCACCAGGAACCAAAGGTCCAGCAGAGCGCAGGGAAGGACCATTATGAATGAGCAGAAGTGAGGAATAGGTGGCTTTCTATATCATGTATAGTGATGGCAATGGTCCACCAGGCTGCCCCTCAGAATAAGATCCTGGGTCACAGAAGTCTAGTCATGATTTCAGAGTTTCTGCAGCATCCATTAAACAGATTTTCCAACAACCAGACTTCCATAGTTGTCTGGCTCTGGAAAAGAGCACCATTGGAATGGGATCATCAACAGCAGCCAGATGGCCTAGACTTCTCCCTGGAATCTACCACTCCATTTATGGTCACATGAAGTGGGCTGCATATTCTGATCAGCCCATATTATTCACTGAGAGAAGCTGGGTTTGGAGGTCCTGCAGAGATTTAGAATCCCCAGGGCCAGTTTCTCTCAGACAAAACAAATCAGCCCAAAAGTCAGTTCCCTTACACAGTTCTTGCCTCTGCTCTTTCCTGCACCTGCTGTTTGCCCTCTCGAATCCCTTGGAGACCCTGGCATTCGCAGCTTCCTCCTTCTGACTCCTCCAAAGACTAATTTCCTCGTCCCTTAGCCCAGTGGCTCAGGGAGGCTTTGTTTAGGAGCTGCACAGGTGGAGAGCTGCAGGCCTCTACAATGCTCCCCTGGAAAGTTCCCTGCTAAGTAACTGAGGTTGGGTGACCACGATGCAGGTCTGCTGGGGGTGTTAGGGTTTACCCAGCTTAGTTATCAGAAGTCCATTTTACCACCAAAGGTCCTAGGTGTGAAAGGGAGACTCTATGGTCACCCCACCATCCATGGAAAGGTTAAAGACCAGAGGAGGTGAGGGAAGAAGTCCTAGTCTCCCCTTAGACCAGCAGGAGCCACACAGGACAAGAACCAAGAGTTGACATGCCCTTAGGAACACACACTACACCTCTGGTCCCAGAGGCCACCCAGTGAGTGGTGGAGAGGGTATACTCTGGCACAAGGAGACCTTTGTGCTGAGTGAAAATGAGGCAATGACAAATTAGGGAAACAGGAAGAAACCCTTTGGGAACTTGCTTCAATCACGCCCCCATCCAGGCTGGAAGTGGCTTGACTTCTGCAAGCTGGGGATATGCTGACAGGCATTTTCATGTACTACCTTCTATACGAATTAACTTTGCATCTTGTTTTAATTTATTCACACAATTTGGGGGAATATTTCTAACAATTGTTTTTAAATCGTTTCACTGTATTACAATTATTGTGTATCCTGGATGTTCATCCCCCAACAGATAACAACAGATAATATGAATGATTTATTCCCCAAAGAGCTATGTCAGCATTTACAGTACAGACTTCCAGTTTCTTCCTTGTCCCAGAGCTAATCCCTGGGCCATCTTCTACTTCCTGTTTATTGCTT